TACATGGGTAAACTTAAAAAAAAAAAAAAAAAAAAAAATTTAAAAAAAAAAAAAAAAAAAAAAAAAAAAATAAAACCGTACGTACAGAATCGTCCGGTTCTCTCTAGAACCGGACGATTCCCGTTTTTTTTGCCGATTCGATCCGTCCATGGCGATTCCCAAGTCGCCGATACGGCGTTTTTTAAACACGGCTACAAACTGATAGAGCAACAATCAACTATTAGTGCTCTCAGGGTAACCATGGCATTCCTTTATTCATGGGAAAACAATAACCTTAATCGCTAACCTCTCTTTTTTTAAAATTTTATTATTGATATATATATATTTTTTTATGCAACCCTTTACATCACATTGTGGCTCTGCTACCTTGACCTTGACCACTCAGGCAAAGGCCGGTTCTCTTTTCATGGTAATTGCGAACCTCAACCCAGCTACATCCATGAGTCTTCATCAACCCCCTCTCTACCATCACCTCCCTTAGTCTCTGTGCATCTTCCCACCTCCCTGAAGCTGCATAAATATTTGATAGCAGTACATAGTATCCACCTGTGTCAGGCTCAAGCTCTAAGCAATGGAGCCCTGCAATCTCACCGAGTTCAACATTACCATGAATCCTACAAGCTAAAAGCAATGCACCCCAAACCCCGGCATCAGGCCTCATAGGCATACTCTTTATGAGATCGTGAGCCTCTTCAAGCCTCCTGGCTCGACCCAATAGGTCCACCATGCATGCATAGTGATCCATGCTTGGCTCGATACCATAACTTATCATCGACCCAAAATGGCTCAAACCCTCTTCCACAAGGCCTGCATGGTTACAAGCTGTTAATACTCCAATGAATGTTACCCTATTTGGGTTTACATTCGCCGCTAACATGTCATCGTATAGCATGAGAGCCTCTTTAGCTAGCCCATGGATAGCAAAGCCCACGATCATGGCGCTGTAACTCACAACATCTCGGCCCTTGAGCCTTTGAAAAAGGCTATGGGCTTTGTTCATGGACCCGCATTTAGCATGCATATCTATCAAGGCAGTTATCAAGTAATCGTCTGGTTCGACCCAAGTTCGGTTTATATACTCCTCTAGCCACTGGCTCAGGAGTAAGTCTCCAATTTGAGAACACGAAGAGACGATACCAACCATTGTGGTCTGGTTTGGTTCAAGCCCGGAGCTCTGCAACATCTCTCGGAAGAGGGATATCGCTTCATGGGGGTGGTTATTTTGAGCATAACAAGAGACCATAGCATTCCAAGAAGCCAAATCCCTCTCACCCATCGAATGAAAGAGCTCGCGAGCCAAGCCCACCTCCTCTTTCTTTGAGTACCCAGATATCATCGCAATCCAAGAAACCAAATTCCTCTCAGGCATCTCATCAAACACCTTCCTAGCCAGTTCCATATCCCCACACTCTATATACCCGCAGATTATCGAATTCCAAGAAGCAGCGCTCCTAATAGGCATCTTCTCAAACAAATCCATAGCCATCACCATGTTCCCCACTTTTGCGTAGCCAGCTATCAACGAGTTCCACGAAATTGTATCTCTCTCAGGCATCTCATCAAACACTCTGTGCGCCTGAGCTAAGTTCCCACCTCTAATCTCCAAAGCAACCAGCGCATTCCAAGAAACCACAGTTCTGTGAGGCATTTCATCGAAAACTTGCCGTGCGAGACCCGACTCCCCATGCTTCGAGTACATATCGACCAATCCTGTCTGCACATAGGCATGGCATCCAAACCCAAGCGCCACGGCTTGCGCATGAAGGGCGCGGCCGAGGAGGGGAGCAGGGAAGCGAGCACACGCGCTCAATGCCGTACATAAGGTGGGGGCGGCTGGCGCGCGGGGATTGCGCGTGTAGAGTCGGAGGGCGTCGGCGAAGAGGGTGTGGCGCGCGAGGCCGCGCACCATGGCGGTCCATGCTTCAGGGCTGGGGTCTGGGGCGTAGTGGAAGAGGAGGTGCGCGTGGCGGGTGGCGCAGTGGTCGAGGAAGGCGGAGAGGAGGGGGGCGAGGAGGTGGGGGAGGAGGCCGGAGGTGAGGAGGAGGGCGTGGGCTTGCCTCGCTTGGCTTAGGCTTAGGGTTTTGGGTTGGCGGAGGAGGGAGGCGATTTGGTTTGGGAGGATCATGACAAGGCCAGTGTGGCCCTGGGGGTTGAGCGAGATAGAGGTATATTGGTCATTTTACTCGTTCACTTTATTAAAAGATGAAATTTTTGTAAGGCCTAGTAAGCTTTATGAAAACCAAAATAAAGCCTCACTTAAAATCCTCAACTTAAAAGCACTTTGGCAAATAAAGCTCTAAAATCAATTTTCAACACCAAAATGACCCAAGATTTAGATATTCAAATTTTTAAAAATCTGAATTAAAGCATTACCTTACTTTGTGTTTATTTGGATTTTATATCATCATAATACGTCTTTTTACATGCACGTTTGATTGTGTAGTTGTATTCCAAAATTTTAGTAGATTCGTACTTTTTCAACTTTTTGATTGACAAAATTAGAACTTAGTGATTTTCATATTTGATGGCTTAGTACATGAATGTAAGGCGAAAGAGATAGGATATGGGGATATCATCAAGGAGGCCTCGAATCAAGTGCTCTGGGATCTGGTTTTGTTCTTCGTAACGTCAAATTAGGTTCAATAAGAAATATTGGGTTTCAAATTAGCTTCAATGGCATATATTGTTTCCCCTCTCTCATATGTTGATTTTTATCAGGAGTCTCTCCCTTTCTAAGATGATCTTTCCGCGCAACTCTCTAATGCTAGAGAGAGAGTTGGGGGCTGAACTATTTGGAGAGAGAGAGATTGGCGTTATACGATCTCCATTAAGAGAGAGGGGGTCACCGATTACAGAGAGAGAGAGGGGTTTCAGTTGAATCATAGAAACGGGCGGTTAGACAGGAGAGGAAGAAAGAAAAATGAGTGGGTGAAAGAGGGAGAGAGATACAAACGATTTTGATGCTATAAGTGAATTAAGCAAAATTTACGTACAACTTTACTTTTTGGGTATTCGAATATTTGGAGGTTATCTTATTATCTAATTTAGTCCTATTAACTAGGGACTAGTTAATGTTAACTTGTAAAATTCCAATTACAATAGATTCCATATTATCTTGAAATATTAAGATTCCATATTATCTTGAAATATTAAGATGTTAGGGTGCTATCAAGACCTTAAAATTTGAAACTAAAAAAAGGGCGAAATAAATTGTCTAGATAATTTATTAAAATATGAGTGCGGTTTGTGTAGAGCAAGGCTCTAAATAATCAAAGTAAACCACACCTTCAAATAGTATCTAGAAATGTGGTTTCAATACTTAATTTTTTTTTGATAACTTTAAAATATATTTTTATCTTTAATTATACGATTTAAAGATTAAAAAATGATGTAGATCGAGAAGATCTATAAAAACTTGAAAATCTTAAAAATTGACGATCTAAAAATGCATACGAGATGCACTATTTTCAAAACTTGAAATCCATTTTTTTTTCATGTCTAAGCATCTTGAATTCTTGATGTCTACATGATCAATTTGAGGATATTTGAGCATCAAAACCACCTCTTCTACTAAATTTTTTGAGGTTTGAGGTGGGCTCTAATTTGATTGTTTAGAGCCTCGACTCTATATAAACTTTTTCCTTAGAACATAATATTTGAAATCTTAGTTTTTTGCACAACCATAACATTGGAGCTGAGATAGTGAGATGATCAATGTAAAAATTTTCCAATGAAATTGCAAATTTCCATGAGTTATAAGGTGAGACTTTAATTATTTTGATAGGGCTGCAGCCCTATACCATTTCATTAAGAAAAATATTTTGATAGTGCTGCAGCCTTACATTAATTTGGACAGTCCACGTCTTTTATAACGGTGAATAAGAGAAATCGGGGCGCCCAAATCTCCGGTTACCTCTGCATTTTCTAATAAAAGTTTATTTTTTTTTAGAAATATATTATCTCTGAACGTAATATATTACTTACAAATGGATTGTCTGTTTGGGCAGTATTTAGATGCAACTTTGATAAATACATTGTTACTGTTTAGCTATGTCCAGAAAAAATATGAGAAATACATTACCAACAATTTTTTTTATAGCTTTATACCCAAAACATAGTTAAGCGTACAATCCCCATTAATATGTAGCTTAAGCTTTATAATTACATTAGGCATAAGAATTAGCCACACCTTTTATATGTCTTTGCATCTTGACTTGGAATCTCATCTTTTCAAGAAGTTAGCACTTTGGAATAATATATTTTTATTATAATACGTCATCATATTTTTTATGTTTTATTTTCTTGTTGTGCTAAAGTCTTTTGATTATCTCGTTTTAGAAAACTTACATGGGCAACTAAATGAGATGTATTGAATAAGAAATTATGTGGGGGCATTAGAGGAGATTGAAGAGATAAATTAATTTTAAAAAAGTTTCGAAAAAAAAAAAACAATTTAATCACACTGATTTTTTACGATTCTCTGTAAATGAACTCAAGTATTTCGAATTTATCAACAAACAATAGCACCAAAAACAAAAAAATAAAGGCAAAAAAATAAAAAATATTGATGTTAGCAGAGAACCTAAATTATAAACAATAGCTACAACTATAGTCGAACTAAAAAATAAATCTAAAATATAAAAAATATTGATGTTAGCAGAGAACCTAAATTATAAACAATAGCTACAACTATAGTCGAACTAAAAAATAAATCTAAAATATCTGAAAATAAACAATAGCTTCAACTATGGTCGCAGAAGATGGACTGCAGTATGATTTGATTTTTGAGATAAACAATAGTTACAACTATGGTGAGATAGGCTGTATGATTTTTGAGATTTGAATATTATAGTGAAAATCATCTGTTGAGTCGATAATAGATTTTTTACTCTCAATACATAAAATTTCTCGTTAGAAAATCTGCATTAGTCTTTTTCTATTTTCGTTATCATTAGAGTGTACCAAATGAAAATTCTTTCTTTCCTATTAAAGTCTATCCAAGCAATGAAAATAAGTGTATCCAAATAATGAAAATTCAGGGGGCAATGGATTTTGTGATCTTTTTGGAAAATCTGGTGTGATCTTTTTCCATTTTCCTTATATAATGAAAACGTAATATTTTTTAATCGATTTTTTATATAATAAATTTTCAGGTAGTTCGACTGCGATTCTAGAGAGATAATACCTCTAAAAAATATTTTAAGTGTTTTTTCTCACACAAAGAATCAAACAGTTGATAGAGCTCACATGGAAATTTAAATTTTTTCTCTCAAATTTCAGTTAGACAAATTTCAAGTTTCTCTCTGAAATTTCAATTCTGTAAATTTTAAGTTTCTTTCTCTAGAGCTCATACCTCTCTGGGATTTTAAAGTCCTCTGTTTTGGAACTTGAGCAACGATTGGGGGCCTATAGTTTCTTTCATCTTCCACGGAATTCGACTTGTGGGGTGCGATCTTTCTCAACGACTCTTGTGAGCGGCATTGGTCTTGGTGTTTTCTATGAATTAGGACCTTTTTCAGTTTCCCTGGGTCTCTGGTTTTTTGTAGGAGGCCTTTTAAGTTCTTTCGCATTGGAAAATTGAGATAGAGAGACGTCATTTTGGTAAGAGGAGGGGCTCCCGGTTCTTTAGGTTTTATTTATCGGGCAGCATAAAGAATCTGCACCGTTCGTATGGATGAATGGTGCAGGGGCTTCAATAGCTGAAGCCCTATACAAACCGGATCCTTAATGAAAAGGAGGGTCATATTGGTCATCTCTCTCTCTCTCTCTCTCGCTCTCTCCGTTTCTCCTTTGCTTCGTCGCAGAGCCTCTCTTCATTTCTCACTTTCTCCGTCGCAGTTGCGCTCTCATCTCTCTCGTTCTATACCCTACTCTGCAGCATTTCCCTCTGAAACAGCAGAGCAACTTAGCAATCGCAGATCGATCACAGCACACTTGTATTCTTTGCTACTTCATTTTCAGACACTGAGCGATCACGTCCCCACTTCATTTTCAGGATCCCATTTGCTAGGTAATAGTATTGTATCACAGTAATTTACATGGTTCAAGCAGTTCTAAGCATGGAGTTTGTTAGTACAGATACTATTGTTTCGAGAAGGTTGATTTTTGGGCTTAAATTGTTTTCCATTGAATTGCGATGATGAATATTCGACTGCAAGATTGGAAAGGGTTCGTAATCCGTTGGAGACTAGTTTTAATCTATTCCATTCATGCACAGATCACTCGCTGGTTGTACTTGTTGATAGGTTTTAGTAGTTTGCTATGATTTGGTTGGTCTAGTAGTGTCATCTTTCCTTCATTGCTATCTCAGCGAGCTAAATTGGATTTTTAAATTTTTAAATCACTTCGGAAATGTGAATGTTTTGAAGTTTTTATTCAATTCTTCTCTTCTTCAATATTTGGGGACTTTCAGACATAGAAGCTTTTCAGACGTGTCGGTTTTGAAATGTAGAAGTTAAGATTTCAGAAACAAGCCGAAGAAAATGCTCTGGATTTTTAGTTTTATGGTTATTCATGGCCTAGAAGAAAATGTGAGATACTTTGTCAACTAAGATGTATGATGGGAATAGGATATGATTTTATTAAAAAGTGGAAAGTTGTAGCAAATGTTATGCTGCCAAGGATTGGAATTCTTTTGACTTGGTTGCTTTTTCAGTGTGAAAAATTTACAGCTAGTACCTCTTTATATGATTATTAATGAGCAAATTTTATGCTGCCAATGATTGGAATTCTTTTGACTTAGTTGCTTTTTCAGTGTGAAAAATTTACAGCTAGTACCTTTATATGATTATCAATGGTCATGGTGCCATTGTATTGTTGTCTTTTATTTATAATAAATTAGATGTAGTCTGTAAAGCTAAATTCCACCAAGGAATTTTTACACCTACAAAAGTGATATGAGCATCTGATATATTTGAAATTTGAAATTGTTGAGGCCCTTCATTGAATTGTTTGATGGATTTCAAGTATCTGCTATCCCATTCTTGGTCCAATGAACAAATATTCAATTATCTATTACTGCAGGATTGAAGGTTGTGATAAACCTTTAAATGGATATTCAATATTCTTCTTTTAGAAGGACCAATCTAGTTTGTGGTGCTTATATACCTCAGCATTTGAAACGGATTACTGATTCCAAAATCAACCGTCAGTTTATCCATTACTCTAGAGGTAGTAGTTTCATTTGATTTTTCTCCAAATTCTCCTTATTTGTGTATTATGTTATGTTTAGGTGCTTCAAGAAAAGATGCTTACTTGAGATTGTAATCATTATTAGAAAGCTGAGTATTTATTTATTTATTTGTTGTTCATGAATAGAATGTATCCTGTCTTCATATTTGTCATGAATAAGAACTACGGTCCTCTTTGGATCTGCGTTTAGGCTCTACAGGGAGCATACTTATATGTGCAGGCTGTTTGGTGCCAAGATCTGGCTGCTGAGATAAAGTGTTACCCTAATTTTGTGACCTAAAAGGCACATATCCACGATGGTGCCGTTTTTCGAAAATGTTCTGTTGCCTCCGCTGCTAATAAACCCATCTTGTATAGCTGAATCAGTACAGTTTGGAAAATGTCTACCCTTTTCATCAAATTGTGTAAACTTAGTGCCAGTTAATGGCTTTCTTTGTTATTACCACTTATGCCCGATTGGTGTCTGTTGTTCTTAACAAATACTTAACACATTTGCAAACCTCGCCTTGTTGAAATGTTCACTGAATCAGTCAATTCTACATGGTTTTATGTCTAATGCGACTGTATCTGATTTACATTGTTATAGGACTGAAGAGATATATTGTTGTGTGCTCAATGAAGTCATACAGGCTCTCTGACCTAAGTCTTATGGAGATAAATAATCTCAAAGTCCGACCCCGTATCGATTTCTCGTCCATTTTCAGTACGGTGAGTTCTATTTGTTGAATGCAATCCCTGAAATCTAGATTCTGGGATTTGGTGGTATGCGATATCGGGGAGATCAATTTATTTGAAATTTTGTTATGCTTAATAACATCGGTTTTATTTCATGATGCTGTCTTGACTAAGGGAATTATCCTGAATGCATGATATGGATCCCTCAATCAGGTTCAACCTATAGTGGATGATGTAAAAAATAGAGGCGATGCTGCCATCATTGAGTATGTGCTTGTGAATGTCTACTGCTTAGATTTCTCTCTTTTATCAAATAAAAATGTGCAAATTGTGTTTGAGGAGTTTATTGATTTTCTCTCTTTGATGTAGCTATACATCTCGTTTTGATGGAGTTCAATTGAACAAAATAATCGAGGATGTTGCTGATATTCCGGATCCTGATGTAAGCTTTTGTCATTTTGTACAATCTATAGCATAACACACCTTGCTGGTTGAAAATATTTCTATCTAATTGATTCTTTTATGAATGTTGAGGTCTCGCTATAAGGAAAAATTGAACTTATAAACAATGGGGCGTACAAAAAATGACAACGGTGGCTTGGAATCTTGGAATCCTTGTTAATTTCTGGAAACCCTCATGTTAACTCTGCTATCCGCCTCAGACGTTACTTTCCTTTTAGTATTTCATTTAATTTCTTGACATATTGACTCCGATTGCATACCAATTAGTAAAGAGAAAAAGGGAGTTTATTTGAGTTTGGCATTCTTCACTTGGTGAAGGTTCTTGATGACCCTATGTTCTTGGATCATCCATGACCCTTACGGTCAATTCTTCATATTGCATGGCTTCTACTGTGGTGGAATAGACATTTGAAAAGTTATTTTGGATTGTTATACTTTTTCTGCTGTAAGGGTCTATTAGTAATTTACCGTATGTTATCAACACATATATCTATACATAATCCCTTGTTAAGAATGGGTTTATGTGTAAATTCATGATTAATTTCTTTTATAAATATGAGACCTGAAACACTTTTTATTTTGGCCAATGTGCAGCTTGATCCCGCTGTTAAAGAAGCCTTTGATGCGGCTTATGACAATATATATGCATTTCATTTTGCACAAAGAGTTCCTGAGCAGGTTGTTGAGAACATGAAAGTAAGTCTTCCCAAAATACTTGGTTTTCTATGTGGTAAAATATGAGGACAATACTTAGAACACCTGCGTGGCCCATGCTGCTGTTCCTTGCTCAAATATCAAGATACTACTTGGATGTGTCAAATTCTCTTAAGTGACTACTTTGTTCTGATCTGGTGTGTAAAATATTGGACAATTACGTAGAAAGATAAAATAACAGGGGCAGGGTGTAAAACAATCTTTTTTTTAAAAAAGAAATGGGTCTAGGTACTGTTATTAAGGTCGAAGAGATAGAGAGACAAGATTGGGTTGCAAGTTGAACCTCTCTGTTGCTGGTGCACTCTATTCATTTTAATCTCATATATATTACAACATAAGGTATTTTCATCAATACCTCTTACAAATATGACATATTAGATGACACTCCTTCACAAACATAAATTTACAACAGTGCCCCCGCACTGCCCTTATACGTTACTTTTTAACAGCCCCCCTCAAGCTGTACACTGGTTTGAACCATGGATAGCTTGGCCTTAAGAAACCAATGCCTGCTTCTCTTCAATTTCTCAGTAAAGATGTCAACAGTCTGATTTTGGTCCTGACAAATTTAGCTTCAATATCTTGATATTCTATATTTTCTTGATCAAATGCTGATCTAGCTCCATATGCTTTGTTTTTTTATTATGCACTGGATTCAATGATAATTTATTATTGAGCTCTGTTTGTCACGATAAATAATGAACTCAAGATGCTTTGGCCAAGAGAAGTGTGAAGGTGACGAGTCCATGCAATTTCCGATGCATCAGTAGCCATTGATCTATATTCTACTTCAGTACTTGAGCACGCGACAGCCGTTTGTTTTCTACTTGATGTAGCAAATTAGAGAAAACAGGAAAATCCGCAAGAATTTCAGGCCAAAACCCAAGCAATAACAGGTAAAAACCTAGGGTTTCCTCCTCATAACCAAGCTAGGGTTCAAAAGCCTAGAGCTTTTACTCAAAATAAATCTCGTGGAATGACATCTAACCTCCTCATGCCCCACTTTAATATTATTTGTTTAATGTTCAAGGGACATTTACAAATATTGGGGAAGAAGTGAATAATTGAAAGTCATTGAATAAGGACGGAATTTCTTTTTTTTATATATATTTATATTTTCAGCCTTCCTCCCCTTTGAAGAAGTCAAATATGTTGAGCTATTTGTTTTCCCTTTTTTTTATTGTAATAGCAACGCTTATGGGGTCGTGTCTCAACAGCTCAGGGAGTTCTTCAAAAGCTTCTCCCTTCTGTAGCCATACAACCAGCACCAAATATCCAGAGAGAGAAGAAGAAAGAGATCGGACAAAGAAAGTAGGTGGAAGACTATAAGTTAGATGATCCAAGAAAGAATTAAAAAAGGTTAAAAGTCAAAGAATAAAGAGATGAAATTAGGTTTATGGGTGATGATTAAGGGAAGATTAAGGAAAATATTTATCAGAGAAGTATCAATTTTGAGAGGAAGAAGAAAAAGGATGGGATTAGATTTGATACTTTAGAAAAGGAGAAGGAACTAGGGTTTATCAAAGAAGATTGAACGGAGAATGGTTGAAGGAAAATTAAGAAAAGGACGTAGATAAAGGGGAATCAGATCGGAGAAGGAGAGGTAGATGGAACTAGGTACACACATCTTTCTCCTGCTTCTCTGATACAATGTGAAAAACGAGGTTGAAGAGATGGAGACACGGGATGGGGCTGCAAATCTTTCCACTCTCTTGATTGCTGGTTTATTCTATTCAGTTCATTATATATACATAATATTACATCCCCCTAGAAATATAACATATTGCATAACACTTATTTACAAATATAAATTTACAGCACTGCTCTTACATGTCACTTCCTAAAAAAGTACTGCCCTGATATTCACTCAAAATTTATGAACCATCTGCATGGTGTATACTGGTGTTCCAGGAGCTGTCCTGATGTTTTCTTCTTTTCTTATTTCATTAATTTAAGCCTTTGCTTGTCACCTCGGATCGTGCTTTAATCTATGGGAACAGGGTGTAAGATGTAAAAGGGTAGCAAGATGCATTGTTTCTGTGGGTCTCTATGTCCCTGGAGGTACTGCAGTATTACCTTCTACTGCTCTGATGCTCTCTGTGGTATGTTATTCTCGTGCTTTCTATCCATTCTTTTCACAAGTATGCTTGCTTTTAAGTGGTTTACTAGCATAATATATGTCTTAATTTATCAAAAGAAAAAAGGGGCTCCTAGGGAAGTAGATGGCATCGATTAATTTATTTATGCACAGCCTGCACAAATTGCGGGATGCAAAACAATTATTCTAGCAACTCCTCCACTGCATGATGGTAGTATATGCAAGGTACATGATTTATTTATTCTCTTTTCTCTTGTGGTACTTCTTGTTTTTTCTTGAATCTTCTGAAAGTTAAAAGAACTCCTTGTTTCGTAGGAGGTACTGTATTGTGCAAAGAAAGCTGGTGTAACACAAATATTGAAAGCAGGGGGAGCTCAGGTTCAACGAACTCAAACCCATTTTGTAACCATTCCGTGTTACTCTGTAGCAAAAGCGCATGTTTATTCGGAGTTAAACGCTCTTTTATTGTTGGATATTCCTTGATTGACAGGCTATTTCTGCTATGGCTTGGGGCACTGCTTCCTGTCCCAAGGTATGTGTCAATGCATTCAATATTCTTACTTCTTGCTTTATATTTTATAATCACCAGTCAACTTGAATGGGTTAGCCAGGCACTGTAGTTCATCACCTTGACACGCACAGTTGAGAACAACAAAGATACACACAAGGATACGTATAAAAGTGTAAATTCATATATGGGAATACCACAGAATGGCAATCACATTAATCTGCAAAATATGATTTTTTTTGCAAGTAATTAGTAGTATATCAAACAATATTGGTGTATATTGCATGCTGAAGTGCAAGAATTTTTTTTTCGTTTTTTGTTTTTGAGAGAGAGAGAGAGAGAGAGAGAGAGAGAGTGCGCACATCTAGTTCACAACATCAGTCGGTCCACAAGTGTCTGACAATCAGCCAGAGTACTAAAGTACC